ATATATATCTGAATAAGTAGTCCTTTAATGTTTGTTTTGTTGTTGTTGTTGTAAAAGATGGAGTACATGAACTCTTGATGTATGGTTCGTTAAGGTTCAAGGCAGGTTTTCGTGAAGAGGTGGATAAATTTATTGAAGCCGCAAAGAAGCATGCAACGACATTGAAAGAGAATAATGATACAATTATTTGCCCCTGTAAAGATTACAAGAACCGTATGGCATGGACATATGTGACTATCATCAGATCATATTTGATTATGCGAGGATTTGTTGAGGATTACACAGTGTGGATTCATCATGGTGAAATAATTATTGTTAACGACGAGGATGAGGAGGAATACGACGATGAAACCATAGAATCCCTGTTCCAATATTCAGCAGAGCTTGATGCACGAATGGATTTTGAGTTTAGTAATGAACAAAGTGGTGATGCTGGTGGTTGGGATGGTAACGACGAAGGTGGTGCCAATAATGATGGTGGAGCACGTGTCAGGGATGAAGATGATTTGGAGGACATGATTCGAGCCCTTGGACCAGAGATTTTACTAAATAGCCCGAAAGGTCTAGAAAATTTGGAAAGGGTGACAAAATCATCGAAGGAGACTGTGTATGGTGTTGAAAAGGGCTGTCCGACACATTGGACATTGCTATGTTTTGTGCTTGAGCTGCTCATCCTGAAGGCTAAGTACGGCTGGTCAGACTGTAGTTTCAATGATCTATTACATCTCCTGCCATGGGTGCTGCCACAACCAAACTTAGTTCCCTCCTACACATACCAAGCGAAGAAGGTCATAAGTCTATTGACAATGGGGTTGAAAAAATCCATGCATGCCCCAACCACTGTATACTTTTTCATGGCGAAACGTTCAAGTCACTGGATAAATGTCCCCGGTCTGGGGCCAGCCGGTACAAGAACAATGACCTTTATGGTGGGGACAAACCCTCCATAGGGAAAAAGAGGAATAAGAAGGGTACAAAAAAGGTGGTACAAGAATCTCAGCCCCCAGATGACACTCCATTAGGCAACGATGCAAAGCAGAGAAGAATTCCTACCTTGGTAATATGGTACCTGCCAGTGACCGACCGCTTGAGACGTATATTCCTAAACCCTAAAGAAGCCGCACTCATGACATGGTAGGATGATGAGCACAAGGTGGATGATGATAAGATTGCACACCCTGCTGATTATAGTTAGTGGCAAAGGTTTGATGAGAAGCACAAAGAATTCAGCGATGACCCAAGGAATGTATGGTTTCGCTTGAGCACCGATGGAATGAATCTCTTCAATCAGAGGATGAGCGACCACAGCACATGGCTAGTGATCTTGACCATGTACAACATCCCAATATTGTTGTGTCAGAAGAGAAAGTACCTTCTCCTCACTATTCTTATGTTTGGCCCTAAACAACCAGGCATTGAAATAGATGTGTTCCTCAAGCCTTTGATGCAAGAAATGGAGGGGCTATGGAGGCATGGGGAGCAGATGTACGATGCATTCTGAAAGGAGGACTTCATATGTAGAGCAATAATATTTGTTACTACCAATGATTACCCCGCGTTGTTTGCTTTGTCTGGACAGATCAAAGGGAAGACGGGTGCTTGGTTTGCTTGGATGGTACTACATGGGTGTACCTAGATACATCCAAGAAGATAGTTTACCTAAGAAACCGACGCTTCTTAAAGACAAGTCACAGGTACCGCAGCAAATTGTTCTTTAGATTTTATGACAACACCCTAGAGATTGAACCCCCTCCAGAGAGACGTCATAACAGAGAACACGTGTATAGAATGGTGAAAAACATACGCGTCGTCTATGGAAAGAAGAATCTGGATGGAACGAATAGAGATAGAAGCACACCTCCTGTCAAAGGCATACCTTTCAAGAAACAATCGATCTTCTTTCAGTATCTACCTTATTGGCCAGACTTGGAGGCCCCCCATGCCATTGATGCTATGCACGTATAGAAGAATGTCTTTGAGAGTCTCATTGCTACCTTGATGGACACAGACAAGTCAAAGGATGGTCTGAAAGCACGGAAAGACATGGTGTAGCTAAACATGATGCCACAGCTTCACCCGGTACCTGAGGCTAATGGAAAATACACTCTGTCTGTGGCGTGCTTCAACCTAACACCAGACAAGAAGAGAGCTATATGCACTTTCCTAAGGGGGATCAAAGTCCCGACTGGGGTTTCAGCAAATGTGAAGAAGCTAGTGTCGATGAAGGACTTGTCAATAACACACTACAAGGCTCACGATTGCTATGTGATGCTGACAGTGTTTCTACCTATTGCAATCAGGGTTATAAAGCCAGAGTTCTTGAAAATAGCCATCACCTGCATGTGCTACTTTTTTTGAAGATCTCACAGAAGACGATTGGCAAGCAAGAGCTGAGTGACCTACATGAATTTGTGGTGGAGACACAAAATCAACTGGAGATGTGTTTACCTTCTACTTTTTTTTATATAATGCCACATCTCATGATTCACATGGTTCATCAAATACAGGCGCTAGACCCTTGCTACTTGCATGAAATGTGGTCCTACGAGCGGTTCATATCGGTTCTAAGTCGATACGTGCATAATCGAGCATACCCAGAGGGCTCCATGATAGAGGGTTACAGTACTAAAGAAGTCGTCAAGTGCTGTCAAGAGTACCTAAAAGTACAGAAAGGGATTGATAAACCCGATTCTCGTCACAAGGGTAGGCTAGCTGGGAAGGGCACCAGTGGTAGAAAAGTGTTCATCGACCATGATTACAAAGAGGTAAGTCTGGCGCATTACAGTGTCTTGCAGAGTACACAACTGATGCAACCGTATATTGATGAACACTTGGCTATCATTATGGCAGAGAGAAATGGCCGTTAGGATGATTGGGTCATAAAACAACACAAGCAACAACTAACTACATGGTTGAAGGACCAAAACATACCACCTAGAGAAACCATAGACTCTATTACCATCAGTACGTTGCGGAGGGGCCATCGAGACAAGTGACATCTTGGAATGCTTATGATATCAATGGGTATACATACTATACCCACGCAAAGGATAGTAAATATGTGAACCAAAACAGCGGCGTTCGAATAGAGGCTCTCAATGGATTAGGGCGAAAGATCAAATACTTTGGCATCATTGAAGAGATATTGGAACTTGACTATGGAAGGGATATAACGGTGGCCCTGTTTCGATGCCGCTGGATCAAACAACACCAACTGAACGAGATCGGATTGAGAGTCCTGGACCTCAAGAATCTAGGTTACCAAGATGACCCTTAGGTGCTCGCTTCATTTGTCGCACAAGTTTTCTATATGTCTGACCCACAAAGTAACCTCCCCCTGAAGAAGAAGACAGAGCATGTGGTTGCCTCTAAGAAACAACACATTATTGGAGTTGATGGCGTGGACGATGTTGAAGCTTACAATAACTACGATGAGATGCCACTATTCATAGACTTTCCTAAGAAGATCAGTGTTGTGGAAAAGAACCTCCCCAAAGACATAATGCCGTGGGAATGAAAAGGTGTCAAGGGGAAAGTCGTTACAGCGGGCCAGCTAGTTGTTGAACGTGGAGTGTTTGTGTAAGTGTGTGTTTGTAAGACTTGTAGGGGTGGCTAGATCAGGGAACGAAAATGCATTTGTAGGGGCGGCTGGATCAGGAACCGCCCCTACAAATAGTCCCGAGTATAAATAGGAGGGTGCACGGGAGTCATCTAGTCTGGGCGCTGTCTTCTTCCTCCGACGCCGTCAGACTACCCCTCACGCCTAGGGTTTCCTCCACCGGCCCCACTGTCGGTCCCGTGCCCGCCCACACCAGCCCCCAGCGCTCGGCGTCCCACACCCGGCCCCCGACGCCCGCCCCCACGCGCCGACGACGCAGGCTCCCGGCGCCCCGCACCTGGCCCCCGGCACTCGCCCCCGGCCTCCTCTCTGACAGTATTGGATTGACGCGCAGTGCTAGTGCACATCGTCCATCTAGACCGGTAAGGAGGAAGCCTAGCTTCATGTTTGCTGGATATTTTCATTCTTTTTATTTTCTTAATTGATGAAGTACGATCTCTGCTTGCTCTAGCACAAGTTACAACTGTCGTAGTGTCAGAACTCAGAAAAGTCCATATTCTATGAACTTCAGCGCGTGCTTTGTCGATCTAAGCTAAGGTAGCTAGGTTCCATCTCCTGACGCCTTGCATATGCTTGATGAAATGCCCAGCCAGTGCCTTGTCTTGATTGGGCACTAATGTATCTTCCTTCCATGATCGTTACAACAATGGATTAGTGACACAGATGGAAAATATAGCACATGATTGTAGTAGCATACTTTCTTTCAAAATGATTGTAGTAGCATAAGACAATCTGATCACAATTCTGTAGCCTTGACGGTGTTCTTACGCATTCATATTTATTGGTACTTTCATTTTAACCCAGCTGCCCTAGTTGGGGCAATGTCTATGGCTCTTCTTTTTCTAAGCGATTTCTTTTCGTTTGATGAAACAGTGATGCCCTGACTTCTAAGCGATTTCTTTTCGTTTGAAAAAAAAAATAGCTAGGGCAAGACGTAGTAACTGTTACTTGTCAGTATGCTACTCACATGGAAACTGCAGAGCTGTTCCACTTCTTCATTGGCCACCTGCTGTTCATATTCCTTTCTTGACTATGCCCAAGTAACATAAAACAAGGAACTAAGAATGTTGCAAAAGCCATGGACTATACGATACCACTAATAATAATAGAATTTAGATCCCAGTGCTGGGAACAGGGCCATTCCTTTTTTTGAGTCTCCCCGCGAGAATCGGTGGTGTTTGTGTGGGCTGTTCCATTTCCATGGTAACCTAGCTTTAGTTTTGCTTTCTGTGTTAGATCCTAGATAGAACCCTAATTTCTAGTTGTGCGATTTAAACTTTTGGTGGAACCCTAGTTAGATTGCTGCCCCGGAGGTTTCATACTCTGTATTTGACTTCTAGTTAATCATCACTTGACCTTGTCCTCTAATTTGTTTGCAGGTTCAAGTTTTACTTAAATCACTTGGTGACCATAAACAAGGTATATGTTTCTCACCTTGAGGTTCTGTTGTGTCATCTATATGTTTCTCAACAATTCCTTCTTCCTTGTATATTGATTCTGTGCCATTATGCTCCATTGTTGTAGTAACAAAACCTGAACTCTGTCTTGAACCAACTACACTTTCATTTTGTTCATTTCCCAGTTCTGGATCATTTATTGCAGTTGGATTTTTTAAATATGGTTGACACTTTGCAACAACTTCATCATTACAGAGATTACCACACAATGCACTTATTGTATTATCTTCATCCTGATTTCCCATTCCATGGATATTATTATCATCCTCAAGTGGCTCATCACTTTCAATCATAAGCTTTTTTGTTGCAGTTTTGCTTATTGCTCTGCTTTTCTTCCTTGTCATGTGGTATTTGTATTTGCATGTTGTCATTCTTGGATGTCTCTATGCTTGTGCCATCTAATGGTTGCACATCTGGTCCACTCTTTCTTTGTCCGGACTTATCTTCTATAACAACTTCCTTGATCTCGAGTCATCAACATCCGGATAAGTGCCGACAATTGATTCGATTGATGATGTAGTTTCTCCTTACATTGCCACCAATTTATCCTCTACTGTTTGGCACCTCAATGTATCCTCATTCTAAGTTCTCGGTTGTATCTTCACCAACTAGACTACCACCCATGGGGAATTGTCATGATCTGCTAGTTTCTTCCTGTTCTTCTAGTGAACCTTCTAATTTTTCTTGTAATAATGATTTGTGGTTGGCTTGGATAGTTTCTTCCCTTGGTACAATTTTTTCATTAGAGATTGAACTATCCTTGTAGCTTGTCACATCTTTAGTGGTAACCGACAAGAGCAATTATTTCACAAGAAAATATGCATTTGTTTCAGATTGCTTCTTTCCTCAATGGTTCATCATCCTGTACCAAATTGCTTGTTTTTGTTAAGAGAATTCAGAGTCACTGGGAACTAAAAAAGCGTTATGGTGTTTAGATTCTAAAGTTTATTCGTTAAAATAGTTGTTTATTGAAGATGCATATTAAGATGGATAGTACCTATATTTGTATTATTTTGGAGTCACTATATTTATCTTGCTATTTTTCTTCCCTGTTTAGGGGGACTATTCTTTACTTTTATCACTGACCTTATGAATCTCTATATCTAGCTTGTTTTCATTGTTTTAAGGGGACTATTTTTCATTTTTACCACTGACCTTATGAAATTTCCATGCTTCTTCACTAATGAGGGAATGGGGAGAACTTTTCTGAACTTAAGAAAATGATATGGCAAGGTACCAAGTTAACTAGAAACTGAGTCGGGAAACTTTAACTAACCTTTTTGTAAGTTACTACTCTGATCATCTCGTGTTGATGTGTTGTACTGAATTGAGCTCCTTTTTTCTCATCTAAGCCTTCAATCTTATCTGATGAAATATTTTGGTATGAGGCCACTTGCTTATCTTCAGCATTGGTAATAATCTAAGATAAAAAAATAGATTATTACAATATAATCCTTCTCACAGTTCAGATTCTAAGAATTCAAAAATGATGCAAATATGCCATAAGGACTTGTTTATTAGTTACAAGTAATCTTGCCAGCTGGTGCTCTGTGCAACCTGAGGCAGGCCATGGCAATGAACCAAATAGGTTAAGTGCACTGGCTGTCTAAGCTACTTTTTTTGGCAATAGCTGTGCTGCTACTTTTTTTTGACTGATGCCATGGAATGGAATGGATCTTTTTTCAGTTAAGTTATCATGTCTTGCTGTTTTTCTACTGCTTAAGTGCTTGAACTCATTTCCTATCATTTGCAACAGCTGCTGCTTCTACTACTCTCCTATATGACAATAGATACGCTGCTACTTTTTTTGTTGCTATCCAGCAATTCTTGTTTGGCATCAGCAGCTGCACTCTTCTCTCTTGTTTGGCAGCAGCTGCTACTCCTTTGCTGAGTTAAATTATATGCAGACATCTCTTCTCTCTTCTACTCACCTCTCTTCTCCTCTCTTCTATTTTCTCCTCTCTTCTCTCTTGTTTGGCAGCAGCAGTTGCTCCTATTCTGATTTAAATAATGTGCAGACCTCTATTCTCTCTTCTCTCACCTCTCTTCTCCTCTTTTCTATCTTCTCCTCTCTTCTCTCTTGTTTGGCAGTAGCAGCTGCTCCTTTGCTGAGTTAAATGATATGCAGACCTCTCTTCTCTCTTCTCCCTTCTACTCACCTCTCTTCTCTATTCTCCTCTCTTCTCTCTTATTTGGCAGCAGCAGTTGCTCCTATTCTTATTTAAATAATGTACAGACCTCTCTTCTCTCTTTGCCTAGGACTTGTTGTCATGTCTTTTGCCATCCGCTGCTGCACTATGTTTGTTAAGCAGCTGTTGCTTTTTTTGCCAAATCTCCCCTCTCCTCTCCTCTCCTTTGTTTTGTCGATGATGAAATTGTCCAAGTCCATACATTATATGGAATATGAGCTGATGATCAAGAACTTGTGAAGAACTTGGCATCATTAGCAGCCGCCCCTACATTACCTTCTCCTCTCTTCTCTGTTATGATGCCTTGATGCTCTAAGTTCATGATCAAATGATGATTGGTATGTTTCTAAGGCCTCTACTACTGCTACTACTAGTTTTTTTGATATATTATTGTTTTATAGGACTACTTTGGTTTATAGCCCTTTTTATTTCTTATACCTTCTCGCGTACCTAAAGCACACTTTCTTGCATCTATTAGAACAAAGCGTGAAATAATGTCGTGGACACCAGACAGTGCAGCCCGATGCCCTAAGCATGATGAGCAGCCAACCTATGAGGAGCAAGCACTAGAGGACCAGCTAACTCAGGAGCAATTCAATAACGAGTTATAAAAGGATCTAGAAGTGATGCTTACTCAGGAGCAGTGTGGCAAGGAGGAAGGGGGAGCAGAAGGAAGAGCAGGAGAGGCTACTGAAGGCGAAGAAGAAGATGATGATGATGACTCAGAAGAGGGATATGTAAGTCCCGAGGATCCTTTCCCACGTGAACCCAGAAGGAGGCCAACGGAGGAAGATTTGGACAAGGATTTTGACCCGAACGAGGAGGTAGGGAAAAAACCTTAGCTTGTAAATTTTGTTAAAGCTTTAGTTGTGTTACCTCTGCTAACACTTTGACCTGTCGTATATACAGGTCCCTCCTGAAACTCAGAAAAGAAGACGTCGACGTCCGCGACATCTCGCTGGACAAGATGGAGTAGAGAAAATGAGAGCAGAGGCAACAGCCACAGAGACGGATCATGATGCCTCTGCTCCACAACCTCAAGACACAACCACAACTACCAAGCCTAAGAGGAAACGAGGGGATAGAAAAGGAAATCTATATCCAGATAAGGCATGCTATGTGATAACGGAGGTCAGGCCAGCAGGGGAGATCCTTGAGCCAATGGAATTAAGAGGACGATTCTGTAATACGATCGGGGCCCTAGTAAGAGATAAATTGAACACAGCAACCCCTAACTAGAAAGAGGTACCAAAGAATAAAAAGAATGAACTATGGGATAGGCAGCTGAAGCTTAATTTTAGATTTCCGGAGGGTAAGCACGAACTGGTAAAAAATGCTTTTAGGATGATGGGAGAGTCATTCCGACGTTGGAGGTCGGAGCTCAATACGAATTATATCCAAAAGGGGTTAACTCCCTTCAAAGAGTTCGGCAAAATAACTCATAGTCAATAGGAGGAGCTCATGGCTCAGAAGACTTCACCAGAGGCATTGGAACTCAGTGCCCGTAATACCGAGCTGGCGAAGAGGAACAAACACCACCATCATCTAGGCCCCAGTGGCTACTATGCCAAGGAAGATCAATTTAGGAAGATGGACGAAGAGGCCGCAACTGCTGGGAATATCGATGTGACAAATTTGAAGGTACGCTCAAGGAATTGGATATATGCGATGAGTAAAGAATCATCCGGCGGTAATCTTAAGTTTGATAAGCCGGAGACCCAAGAGGCAGTATCAAGGATACTAAAATATGCTGAAGACAAGGAGAATGGCTCATTCAATCCTTCCAGAGAGAGGGATGAGCTTAGCCTTGGTTTGGGAAACAAGGAGCACATATACCGCACCAGAAGGCTAGGGAAAAGACGACCTGGAAGCAAGGATTCGAAGAATACAGGCACATGTACAAGAAACATGGCAGAGACCGGGAGACTAGTATTAAGCTCCAAGTGAAGGCTCTAGTTGCGAAGGCGCTGGAGGAGCAAGGATTGTCTATGGAGCCACGGATATCAGTGACGCCGCCGGGAGAACTGGCATTAGTTGGCAGCCCTCCAAAAGTTCCTAGAAGCCAAGGTTCCACTGCAGCCACAACCCCCGTCGATCACATACGGGAACCAACTAGTTGCACCTTGGTGTTTCTCAGTGGCCGACAAAACACTATGATGGAGGTGGCAACGGGTGTGGCACATCCTCCCGGTGGCTTACACCATAATAATAAGATACCACCGGACTACACTAGGGTCGAGGTGCATACAGTGAAGCCTGAGTTTATGCAGTGGAGGATAGACTATGCAACTCCCGAGGGTCTGGTGTTACTCAGAGATGTTATGGGGCAGTTCATCCTCTAGCACAAACTGGACATTATATTGACTGTTTCTTCGCCGCCTCCCCCTCTTCCAAATTTGGAGTGAGTTGTTGAGGTCGGGGAGATATTTTCACCGTCTCGTGACCATATTCCTGAGATGCCACATTCTTCCCCGCCTCCTAGCGAGCATGTGCCTGATGAGATGCCACAACCTTCTCCAGCTCGTACCGAGCAAGTGCATGATGAGATGCTACAGTCTTCTCAACAAGCACAGCTGATACATGAACAACCAGTGCCTCCTAAAGAAGGTGATGCACAAGAAGATGAGGACGTGCCTGAATGGGAACTTCAAAAGAAGCATTCAATCACCATAAGGCTAGTTTATGTTCCGATCAAAGACGTCTCGTCGGAGTCCAAGTAGTTTTCCCATGACTAGTTCAAGCCTGAAAACCAAGTTAAAAAAGTCCCATCACGGGGTTCTGAGGAGGCCGTCACTAGCAAACTCCACCAAATTACAAAGCAGTATCCAAATATTGATGCCATCAAATGGTCAAAGGATTGCCCGAAAACATATGAAAGAGGTAAGCCCTTCCTACCAAACCGGGACATCCAGCGCCTACCACTTGGAATGAGAAGGTTTCATGATTGGTACTTACGTGTTCTCCCAATGAGCATAGATCTCATACAAGCATGCTTCCTCACCGGCACATTTGAAAGCCCAGCCGGGAAAATTGTCTTTGACTTCAATGACATGCACACATGCTTTCACCTGGGAGAAATGGAGATGAATCTAATTCGCACGTGGTGCCTGTAAGTCCTTGTCCTCCCGATATGATATGAATGTAATCTTTGAATTTTGTTGTAACTAACCCACGTCGTGATT